TCCATTGACCTAAGATCTCCTTTATTCTACTTATCTTGTTAAAATCCCTTTACAAAATACCTTGTGGCAGTGAAACTAAACATTATTTTGTATAGACAAAGCAGCATTTTTCAAACTCACACGTATTTCACATTGAGAGCCCACATACCCTTTTAACAGGTCGCAGTACTGCAGAATTAGTAGCTTTGTCTCATGTAGCATAGCATGCTGTAGAAAGGTCCAAAAACTGTATTTATCCAGAAGATCAGGCGATTATTTTCTACAGCAGAATCCCTCATTTCTCCAAAGAAACCAAATTAGCTTTCTAAAGTTGAAAGGATTAATGTCAATAAACTGTCTCTTTGAACCTCTGCCCTCCTATGTTGCTCCATGGACTTATTTCACCCTTGGTTAGGCTGTACTGCTGCTAGAACAGGGGGTGCTTTGTGTACTGCCAATGCTGTGTGCGGCACTGCTGTTTTCAGAGGCTGGTGGGGATGTGGGGACCTGCTGTCTTCCTGCTGTTTCCCCTGCGGGAAAAGAGAAGGAAACTCAAAACGTTACAAATTACACACAAATCTTTCTATCCACTCCCAATTTTCTACCCACTCCCAATTTTCTTGTCATTTTAATTTCCATAAAAACTGGGCACTGAATATGTAGTTCAAACAGAAACATTATTCATAATGTTGTTTAATCTTGACACTTCTAGGTATGCTTTACCTGGAAAACTCTTTTCTTAATGTTTTCTTAATTGTATAAAAGCAGCAGACAGTGAGCTCCGTTATGGATAATGTGTATATCCTATTATCAGCAGGCCATAAACTGAGGTTCAGTCACATTACACCTGGGGCAGCTCTGCAAAATTTCTGCAGAAATTAATGTGCAGGCAGAATTTTCTTCCCTCACAGAAATGGGCTGCAGTACTGATCGCTGCCACTAGGGGCTGCTGGACCTTGTAGAGCACTGCTCCCACACAGAAGACACTGCCAGGGGAAAGGGGAGGAAGTTAGTCGGCTCCTGGCAGCCGCAGTTCCCAGCTGAGCTCTGGGGAAGAAGATTCAGGCATCCAGACTGGGGGACTCCCAGTTGGGCTGTGGGCAACAGTTTGTGTATATTGACTGGTGACGGGTCTGGCTTGGTGGGGGAATGAGGTGTGAGTATCTAGGTAAGGCAGGGTGGCTGGGATGTATGCGGGGCATTGGGAAGAGGGGAGGAGTGTCAGTGTCTGACTCCCTAGCTGGGTAAGAGGTAGAGAAACAGGAATTAGATTTTTATAGGGGTTTCTTTAGCTGTACTCATAGATATTTTTAAATAAATTACCAAAATAATTGAAACTGGTATGGTTACATGGTGCTATTTTGACATACAAAATGTGCAGAATTTTAAAATGTTGCACAAGAAATTTTTAATTTTTCGGTACAGAATGACCTCAGGAGCATCACACAACTGAGACCAGGGTCAAACCCTAGATTTTTTTGTAGGCTTTTCTGTTTGATGGAGAACAGATAGAAAAGTGTATAATGTTTTGTCTTAATGCCAACACATGGAGCTGTGAATTTACAAAACCCAAGAAGTTATATCTGAAGGCACTCTCCTCAATCAGGAAGATGGCTCATATGGTGAGAGAGTGACTGACCATTTTTCCTCAGCGAGCAGTCCTGTGGCACCTTAGGCTACGTCTACTATGCACAGTTATTTTGGAATAAGCTATTCCAGAATAGTTATTCCGAAATAGCTTATTTTGAAATAGAACGTCTACACTGCAGGGAAGCCTCAAAATTAGTCAGAGGCAGGCTTCCCTAATGTAGATGTGCTATCTCGATTTAGAGTCCTAGGAGGAATAACTTAGAATGGCCCTCGTGAGGGGCTATTTTGAAATAGCAGAAGTGGAGCTTCCACACATGCCTGATTTTGAAATAGCTATTTTGTAATGAGTATTATTCTTCATAGAAATGAGGTTTACAGAAGTTGGAATACGCCGTCCGTTATTTCATAATTTCTTCAAAATAACCAAATTGCTGTGTAGATGCTCACACAGTTATTTTGTAATAACAGCTGTAGACACACCTTTAGGGACTAACAAAAATATGTAATATAATCTTTCATGGGCAAAATGAACTCCATCAGAGGCTGAGCTCATGATACTATATATTTTCGTTAGTCTCTAAGTTGCCACAGGACTACTCATTTTTCAAGTTACAGACTAACACAGCTCCTCCTCAGACATTTTTTCTCAGGGTAGGAAAATGGCCTATCCTGTAATGCTGAGTTGATTTACATATGTGATGCTAAATGTAATGTAGCAGGGTTATAAGCAAGCTTCCACATAGGTCCTATAGTACGAACAGTAGTTGCAGCACAGAATAGTATTAGGTACAATATTCTTGCATTGTCATGCTCAGAGTGTAAGTATACACACAATGTTAAAACAGTGTTATTTGGATTACAAAACTCAGCACAAAAAAGTTAGAAAATTCCTGATTTTGTGGATATCTGTGCAATAGTAATACTTTCCTTTTTTGTCCATTTTCTGCACTGAATGAGGCAGAGGTCCTGTGGGGGGAAACAGTACGATTGTGTAATTAAAGATTGTATTACAATGCATATACTACTGGTGGAGGGCTGAGAGAATAAAGGTTGCACAGGCAACCATAAGTCTGGTATTTCTTAATTCTGAAGTGCTTAACTTTGTAACCTTAACGTTCTCTTTGTGTAGTCTTGCGTGAATATATGTGGTTTCCTAATGTTTCTTTTAAAGAAAAAGTTTACAAGTTCTACCAGGTAGCTTGGTAGCAGTTCTTCCAATTATCAGCCATGTTAGAACCTTGAGTCTTCAGCATTACAGCACAACCTGCTGGTATTTGAGCTGCAAGATTAACAATGCTGGCTAGCAGTAAGGTGACCATATTTCCCAAAGGGAAAACAGGACAAAGGGCTGATTTGAGACCCTCCCTCCAGCTGCATGCCCACCCCCGCTCCTCCAGGCTGGCCCCAGCCACCAGTCTCAAGTGTGAGGCTGGCAAGTCTTGGGTGGTCGTTGGTCACTCCAACCGTGCCCCCACACTATTCCTCCACACTGCATTCCACTTTTTGGAAGACAGAAGTGGGTATTTGTCCCTGTATTAGTTGGCAAGGACAAATGAGACAAACACCCACTTTTGTCCAAAACGTCAATATGGCTGGTACAAAGCTTAAAAGAAGGATGTATGGTCACCCTAGGCCTAGCAGTAAGAGGGATGTTTGGATTGCCAAGTCTGGAGAGTGGTTAGAGGAAGCTTAGACCAGCCATAGTGTGATAGTTCCTGTTCCATGTGTTGCCCTCAAATGGGTGACTGACTCCATGTGCTGGGTCTATAGGGATGGTTGAACGGATCCTGACCTATGTCTGTCATCCACTCCCTCCCCAGGAGTTGAGAGCTTGGGTCACATGGGATGCCCACAGTGGTAAATGGACTACCAGGGCCATGTGCTGAGTCAGGTATTTACAGGGTGGGAGCAGGCTGGCTCACTGTTATATCCCCCTAAAAGCTGTTCTGGCAGCTCTGCAGTATTCCCATTGTAATGTAGGCTGTTGCTGTGGCAGCAACATGATTCCAGCCTTGGGATGTTTGGCAGACTGCCAACATTTTCCAGAGGAACACAAGTGAGGGAAAGGAAATGGTGATTTTAAACACTGTGAAGCTCATCCCATTTTATTATTTACACTTCTTTTGTAATTATATAAAATATAAACTCACAAAACAAAACACAAACAGCAAAACCTGAAAACAAAACACCCTGAGACTGTGGAGGTCATGCAGGGCACCAAAGCTCACCTACAGCTGAATGGAATATCATGGGAGAATGAAGAGTGGTAGAAGGGGATTCTCACTTATTAAATATCAAAATATCAAAGGCCTGATGCAAACATTGAACTTATCGGAGCTTATCAGGAGAAGAGGTCCCAAGAATCCTTCATAATAAAAAGCATTTAGGCAACCTAAATATAGGGTTTGCTCATAGCTCATCCTACAATCATGATCATATGCCTAACACTTCCTCAGGAAAGTAAACGGTGCTGAATTGCTTTAACAGAGGTCAGAATTTGGACCAGGGATTTGACACTTAAATGAGACATTCAGTTTTGCGAGGTAGTTTCTGATCTGCACAAATCCAGAACAGTTCCATGTTCCGTGTATAACTGAGAGCAGAATCTTGCTCTGCATTTCTTAAATAAAATGTTTCGTTTCCATCTTTTTATGAGAAACCGATTTCTATATAAACAAAGGAAACTGTAACACAACAAGAAACTGTTTGCTATCTTATTATAAGCTTTTCATAAACCTTGTTTGGGTATTTTCTGCCTCATTATAAAAATGCTCTTCTATTCACTAGTTATTTTGTATATAAGCTTCCCTTCCTGTCATGCTAAAGGACAGATCTATAAGTCAGTGATAAGCAAACTCCCTCTCATTTTAAAAAAATAGAAAAAGCTCTTAGCATTGGAACTCATGAACTGCAGTTACTTCCATTCCCTCAATAGGGCCCCTCAACATCTCTGCCAAGAAAGCAGTTCTGCAAAATGTAGAACTGGCCCATATTCCCTGCTGTTGGGTCTTATTACAGCTTCTCTGTCACCCATTTTACAAACTGCATGATTACACATAGTTTTGCATCAGCCACAGCATATCAATACGATCTGTATAAACTTTAACCATAACTTAGTTTATATGCTGAATACCTCTTCATTTTTTTAGGAAAAATGACAAGCACAGCTGTCACAATCTATTTAGAAGCCAAATAGTACTACACACTCCATCTATCCACTCTTCTGGAAAACTTCCTACAAGGCATCTTCCTTTAAAAATGTGGAGTTTAGTACTTTGCCTCAGTGGCAAAGGCTCTACTATAATTTAATTTCCTTTTCACTGCTCCCTGTCTAGAAAATTACTGGAAGTTCTGACATATAACAATCTGTTTGTATAATAGATTGAGCAGCAGAATTGTTCTATCCTTCAATGACAGTATCCAAATCTTAGTGAGAATATGAACAGAACCTACCAATATTTTTAGATTGACTTTGCTTAGTCTTATGATTTATTTTTCAATACCTTGATAAACTGACAATTTTTTTTATCTAGAGGATTTAAGAAAAAAAATTATAGTAATACAACACCATCTGTGTTCTTTACATTAACAGCTTCACGTGCCTAATGTTAGTGCTTGATCACGCCTCAAAATGGCCATGTTCTATCTATTGATAGTAAACAAGCTTTTATCCATCTGAATGTGACAACATGTACTTTATTATTCACACTTAGGAAAACTGCCAGTAGTACTCCCAGTCCAGGAAGTTTGAATGTTTGCTTTTCTATCTCCATTTGCCAAATATAATTGGTTGCTATGTCAGTTTATTTTAATCAGATCTCATTTTAAAAACAAGAGAAGGGGGAGCCTTTAACTTCCAGAGTTCTAGAAAATAATGTTAACTTGAAGCATTGTCTGAAGAGGAGAAAAATCATACTTTCTAAAAGGATTAGGTGACTGATGTGTGTGCCATACATAATGCAGGGTTTTAAATTGCTGGGTTTATGCTCAGCAAAGTCTAATAACTTATTAAGCTGTTCCATGACCAGTGTATTTATCCTTAAGCACGATAGTTTATTCACTCAAAACAGAATTCTCCAATCACAAGTAATTTCACTATTAACTCCTGAAGGAAGCAGAAGCAGAGCTGTTACAAGACTTTTAGTTCTATAGAGGCTCAGGTTAAGAACATTCAATACTAATTAAGCTTCTCTGCCTTCCCCTTTGCTCTAGGAGCCTCTCAGGACAGATATTATATTATTATGGATAGGGTGGCAGCCACTTTTTAAGTTATTTAACCAGTTATCTCTACTACAAATCCCAGTTTGCACATGCAAGTGACTGT